AGGAAAGAAGGAAGGGAAGGCTACATTTTTAAAAAAGGGGGGGGGGGGGAAAGGAAGAATAAAATCTTCAAAATCCTCACCTGCGAATAAATCCACCACTGATGGCCATCTGTTCTCGTTCATCCACAACACGGGCAGGCTGGCTAGCTACAACTCCATCTTGATTGTTGCCCCAGGCTTTTTTGTAAGCATCACTTGATTTAAGCCTATGCAAAAACAGGAGGCGAGTGACAATGCAGCAAGAGAGGGGAGAGCCAACTGCAAAACACCTTATTATTTGTCCGAGCTAAGAGCTGAGTCAAGCAAATGGATTGTTTTTGACAAAAGGGGGCATTCTGGTATACCGATATATCATAAAGTGGAACAAAAGCATTTCCTTTCTTTTTATTTGCTGCCACAACTCTGATGCTTGCAAATTTCATTTCCAATAGTGTCAATCATCATGGCCAAGTTGGTGGCTTTTGGAGGGGGGGGGATTTGCTTGATTAACACAAGAATAAACAGACACGACTAGGGAACGTTCAGCTATTGTTCATGACACATGTATATTTGGACACCAAACGGAGGGACTGCACTTCTAGACAAACATGAAAACAGAACTGCAAAGGGAAGTGTGTACATCACATCACGGTGAGACATTGTCTTAGATTTTTTTAAAAAAACTAAGATGAAACAAAAAACAGACTTGGCCACCTTTTTAAGCACAGCGGCCAAGGCTCCTTTCTTGATCACGTGACACAAAGAACTTTCACATCCAACAATTTTTCCAATATGATACTAGAAGAACGGAGATTCACAGAGGCTTCTTTGCCGTAAGGCGTGATGGGTCAATTTGGGAAGATATTTTAATAATATATCGGTACTTGGAGAGAGGAACTAGAGATCTAGAGTTGATGTACAAACCTTTATCCACAGAGACAGAAAGTAAAATCAGGCCATATTGGGATGGGTGCAGGGAAATAAAGAAAGAATACAAGCATGTGTAGCGGTTGAGCCTCAGAAAGGGAAATTCCTCTATGTGTGTATATATAAAGAGATATTTCATGCACCAGATACAGGCATGAATAAGAAGTGAGAAGCATTCTCAAGAAAGCACAGCTGCCCCCATGGTCCAACATTCTCTTAACGCACTAGCAGTTATACAGCCTACACAGCAAGTGGGATGCAGGCAAAAATGGATCTTCTGTTATGGTGAGAATCTAAAACGTTAGGTCCTGGAAAGTATCTTGGTGAGAGTTAACTTGTCTAAAGTTAAATATGCAGTTTTTCAGAGGAACCATCTTTGACTGAGCCGCCACAAAGTAATTAAAATCTAGGCATACCACTGATAACAGGCAATACAGTATTAATGTGTGCAGCATCTTGGCATATTTTAATGGTAGAAGAATTTGGAGATTACAAATTGAAATTACGCTCAAACTCGATGGGTTGTTAGGGCCGTCTAAACTGTATCGGTTTCAGCAAAGCCTATTCCTTAAGTCTGCACGTGAAAACGTGCTCTCCTCCAAAACAGAAAATGTCCTGCAATGTTAATAAACCTCTAATATGTGCCCAAACTGGCACTATTTAAAAGCTTTCTAAAGACAGTGAACACATCTGTTCAAACATTCATTTGGCTTCTTATTTCAAGCAAGGCTGGTTGCTGACATGTTTCACTGCACAGATGTTGCTTTGAAAATCAATTGCTTTTGGTCAGAAATCAACTGAATTTCTTTGAAACAAGTACATGAGTAGAATTGCATTGCAGAGCTCCAATCCTGTGCATGCCCCCTTGGTGGTAAATCCAACAAGATGTGCTCCTAGGGAAAATGCACACAATAATAACAACTCCGCCTTTAAAGTGCTCTAATAGCTTTTAGTGTTGATGTATAAGAGGAGGCTGTTAAATTGGATTAAACGCAGCAGTATGAGTGGAGTGCTATTTGGAAAACTTGGTATGCACCATACACAGTAATATTTGCAGGGGGAAAAAATTCAGATTGGCCATGAACAGTATGTCATCCTCCAGAAATTGTTGGGCTGCAACTCCTTTTGTGCATCATAAGTGTTCTTAACCAAAGCGGATAGGACAGTGGTTCTCAACCTGTGGGTTGGGACCCCATTTGGGGTCGATCGACCATTTCACGGGGGTCACCAAGCAAGGCTGTCCGCCATTTTTTTTGTCCGCCATTTTTTTCCCCCTTTTCCGGCGGGTGCCTTACCTCCCTTGAGCTGGGCCAGCTGGTGGTCAGCCTGCTCCGTCTCTGCCGCTTGCCAGTTACGCCTCGGCCGGCGCAGGGGGCGGAACCACGCATGTGCGGCGCTCCCAGGCAGGGAAAGTCCTCCACTTACGACCGGTTGGGTAGTCCTCAACTTACGACCGGTTTAGTCCTCGACTTACGACCGGTTTAGTCCTCGACTTATGACCGGTTGGGGTCACGGCATTAAAAAGGTTGAGAACCACTGGGATAGGAGGTGGCATTCAGGCATTGCTAGAGAGCCACACATTTGCCCACTTCTGCTTGAGCTGCTGATTCACTACATCTTTTCTCTTCGCATCACCATTTGACTAGCCAGTTTTGGGTCTAGTATTCCATGGCCCAGTCAGGGTTTTTGTTACTTGATAAGCACAGATTGGTCTGAAATTCATATTTTGAGAAAGTATATAAACTTAATGAGAGCCAGTATGGTGAAGTGGTTGAGGCATCAGGCTAGAAACTGGAAGATTGTGACCAGTGGTGGGATTCAAATATGTGAATAACCAGTTCTCTGTGTGGATGCCCCTTCCGGAAGCCCATTCTGGGCCTGGGCAACAAAAATTTAGCTACTGGTTCTGCCGAACTGGTACGAACTGGCTAAATCCCACCACTGATTGTGACTTCTAGTTCCACCAAGGGCACAAAGCCAGCTGGTTGATCTTAAGCCTGTCACTTTGTCTCAGCCCTAGGAAAGAGGCAATGGCAAATCAATTCTGGGGAAAAAAATTGCAAAGAAAACTGCTGAGGGACTTCTCCAGGAAGTTCTCGAGAGTCAGATATGATTGAATGGAAGAAAAAAAAATATAGACTTTATATCTATTACGGTCAGCAGTATGTTCGTCTTTTTAGAATTTTCTGAGAACTCTTGCTACTCCCATTCAAATCATTGCCTTTCAATGACCCCGTTGAGCCCCAGTGTTCCACTGCAATCTTCTTACTTGGGATGGCGTTGAGTGTTTAAGGGAAGCCAATCCTCAGTGGGGAAAGTCTAAATCAAACTGCCAGCACTGAATCATTGGGTCTGAAAGGGCATATGTGTAGAATAGCTGCACAAGTTTAGATTTCTCTCTTTATTCTTTAAGACAGGGCTTTTGAACCAGTGGTACGGGTACCACCCGTGGTACATTGGCACCTGGCAGGTGGTACGTGACCATCCTAGAAAAGTGGTAGCGGGGGAGGGGAATGAGCTGAATTGGTGGCAGCACCGCACAAGCCTGAGAGAGAGATGGCTGGAGCTGCAAGGCTGTCAGGGCTCAGCGGAAGTGCCAGGATCAGCGTTTCTTCGGGACTGTCAGGACTCAGTAGAAGCACCAGGATCAGCGCCAGGCTCCAGCTGGAGCTCGGCGCTGATCCTGGTGGTTCTGCTGAGCCCTGAAGAAGCACCAATCAGCTGGAAAGCAGCATTGATCCTGGTGCTTCTGGTGAGCCCAGAAGAAGCGCCTATCAGCTGGAATGTTGCAGCATCTCCAGGGTCTTGTGATTTACATTCAGATGCTTGGCAATTGATTCATATTTATGACGGTCATAGTGTCCCAGGGTCATGTGAAGTGACCAAAACCTGCTGCAACCACCCAGCAGATGGGGGGGGGATAAAAACCAAACACCCCCCCACTCCACCCCGGCTGCCAATCCTCAACAGAAATGCTCACAACAATGAAAACCTCGGACAGGAGGAAGAGCGCTACTGGGTGGGCAGGCAGGTGTCTTGCTCGGCTGTGTCTTGGAAGGCACTTTTTTCAGTGCCATTGTAACTTCGAACAGTCACTAAGCGAACTGTTGTAAGTCGAGGACTACCTGTACTTTATCACTTTTTTCCTTTTTTTTTGGTCATCAAGTTTTTGACACCTTTCTAGGCAAGTGATGGTACTTGGATGTTGCCATATCCTAAAAGTGGTACAATGGGTAAAAAGGTTGAAAAGCCCTCCTTTAAGACAGTGTTTCTCAACCTTGGCAACTTTAAGAGGAGTGGACTTCAACTCCCAGAATTCTCCAGCCCTCTTAAAGTTGTCAAGATTGAAAGGTACTGCTTTAAGACATCTGACTGGTTTATAAAGCTTTAAACAGGATTACTTGGGAGGGCAGATTCCGTCTTTCTGGATAAATATAAGAAACATAGCAGTCCCCAAATATTTTTAATTAAAAAAAAAAACCTTCCCAGACTGTCTACATATCACAAAACAACCTGAATACTGAATGGAGCAATTTAATTATTAGAATTATTACTCATTCCAGATATCCGAGCAAATGATCAAAGTCTGGATTATAAATCAAAAGCTATAGTACATTGCAAGGCCATATGCATGCTCACATGCAAACAGACACTCACCATTCTATGCCTGTTTTAATATTTATAAATGTTTTAATGTTTTAATGTTAATGCTTTAATCATTCAATAATTCACTCCACACTAAATCTCTTATTTATCTAAGCACTCATTCTTTCTTCTCTATGTTCCCTCTTTAAAGCTGATACATCAATTTTTTTTATGCTGCACTTTCATTTCATGGCAGTAATATGGAAGCAGATCTAATATATTTCAACATTTTTTTCTTGGTGTTACGCTACACAGTGGAGAACTGCTATGAGCAAAACGGATCCAGGTTTTTTTTTTCTGACAATATTTTACATTCCCATAGTTTGGGATCAAACAAGGAAAACAAGATGTATCTCCAAATCTTTTCTTTTTTGTATTTCATCCAAATAATCATTTTATGAATCGTACTCCTTTAAAGGCTATTCAGACGAAGAAAAGTTTACATAAGGTCATAATTTTTGAAATTTAAATCATTTAATGCTGCATAGTACACACTATAAAATGTTGAAATTGTCATCATTGAAAAGCGCTTACAGCAAAGGTTTTACTATGGTATGCCTGATTTTAATGCATCTACTATAATCCTGCTATTGTCTACACCAGTGGTTCCCAATCTGTAAATACACAAGCCACCGTTGAACTCTGAGATGGCAGTAAGTAGTTCACACAACCAAACTTCTCCTCTTTTCCAACACGTTACACGTTACACCATGGAGGGGAAGTGACAAGTGAACTGCCACTGCCTCTTCTGTACCGGGACTGATGTGAAGCCATGTGCCACTCGGTCAGCATTCGCATTTCCAGGAAATAGCAGTGAGACGTGTCTTGGGAATAAGTGGTGAGACAGATGGCTGCCCACTGCATTGATTCCCTGGAAGTTGGAAATTTGAAAGCTGATAGCCGCAGTCATGGGAAGCCAAAGGGGGTGTTTTAGAGACAGGGCCAAAGTGGTTTGTTAGTCAGAAAGCTTGGGAACCTCTGGTCTACACTATGAGATGAATGCATTGGAACTAAAAGTGTTCTCTCTGCATGCCACATGCTCATCCTGCCCAGGTGCCTTAAGCAAGGATGAGCGTCACAAGGCTCTGTTGAGGTCAGCCTTGGGTGCTCTAAAAATCAGGCAGGCAGGCAGGCAGGCAGGCAGCACCTACTTGTTACAAGGACAGGCACAAAGACCACAGAATTTTCCTAGGTCCGTCAAATTCTTTTCTGCTTCTTTCATGTCCTTATTGATTTGGTCCATTCCCTCTTCGATGCGTTCCAGTTGTTCTGATTAAACACAAGCATTTTATCCCCACAGTATGAAGCAGATGGAAAGGGACAAAGAAAAAAAAAGACAAAGAAAAAAAAACTTCAGACATTCACTCATGACAAAGAACTGGACAGTACAGAGCGGCGCCGGCACCAAGTACCTACTTGTTACAAGGACATATGAAAAGGCCACAGCATTTCCCTAAATCTTTTAAATTTTTCTCGGCCTCCTTCATGTCTTGGTTGATATGGTTCATGCCTTCTTCAACGCGATCGAGTTGTTCTGGTCAGGACAAAGGGATGACAGTATGGAATGAATTGGTTGTTTTTTTTTTAAGTTGTAGCTGTTTGTCTTCAACAGAAAATGAAAAAAAAATGATGTATGGAGAAACAGAATTATTATGATGGCATCTCAATGCATTGACTGCAGCTGATGCATTGAAGCAAAAAATGGAAGCAACCCTAGAGGCTAGAAACACCAGTCCCTTTTGCTAAGATGAGGAAACACACATACATCCATATACAAAAGAAAGAAATGGAGAAATGCTTGATGTCTGCTAATTAGAACAAAAACATGGAGGGGGAAATGGAGGTGCTGTCAAATACCTCAGAATCCAGAAACATAATACAATACATCCAGTTACTAAGACATCAATGACATCCAAGAAAAAGAAAGAAATGGGATTATTACCTTGTAATGCATTTGTGCACATTAATAACAGTTTTAAATGATTGCCTTCCATGGACAATATCTACAATACTTCCACTTACAAATGTCTTTGAGTTTGATGATGGTTGAAAATGTAATTGGTTTGCTTGGTGGAAGTGTATACAGTTAATAATGGTATTTAGAATGGATATGAGTAGCTGAGTTAAGATCCATGTCCAGATACAAACTTTTTTCAATGACTGAGGCTCTTCAGATCTGAATTTTGGGCCGAGGTCCATCTCTAAAGAAGAGAAGACCATGGGTCTTATTCCTCTGTCAGTGACATTATTATATGCTAGGAGTGACCCCAGTGGAGTAGAAGGAATTACATAAAACGCAGGACCCAGTTTCATGTCCAGAGAAGCAGATGGATAGATTGCCATAGAATTAGGGAGACTCAGAGCAGATGCAATATATAGATAAATAGATGGATAGTTAGATAAAAATATATAGAAGATAATCTCTTTTTTTCCTTGATGGGCATTATTTCTTGCTTACTTGATCTTCCCATGGCTTCCAGGACATTATTAGGTCAATGTAATTCCTTTCACTTTAATGGAGTTACACCTGATTTGCATTAGTACAGTATAACATAAATATCAAGCCCACTATTTAGGTTTATATGCAAATAATAAGTGACTTTTATAAAAAACCACCGAGACTGTGCTGGCTTAGACTTGAATTAGTTACAGATTGCCTTTTAAAAATTGCTAAGAGTCATTATTCTTATTAAGATATGCCAAATAGCACAAAGTAAATATTTGAGACTGCACAAACAATCATACAGCTCGATCCAGTCAATATTTAGGTATAAAAAAATGCTCATCATGTTTAGCAGTAATTATTTCCAGCAAAGTACACATAGAATTGTCCCCTTGGTGACTCCTCCTGAACCTCAGTTATTTTCCACTATCGTAAACATATTCATTTCAATGACATATCACATTGGTTCCCACCCTTCACCCTAAGACAGGGGTCGGCAACCTTAAACACTCAAAGAGCCACTTGGACCCGTTTCCCAGAGAAAAGAAAACATTGGGAGCCGCAAAACTTGGTCTGCCAGTCCTCTTCCCCCACTCTGAGTGAGTGAGTGAGTGAGAGAGAGAGAGAGAGAGCGAGAGCTGCTGCTTGCTGCTTTCTGCTGCTTCTTGCTTCCTGCTGAGATACAGCAAAGGGAGGAGCCCCGCCCGATAAGCTTGTCAGCTTGTCTGAGAACAGCGGTGAGGCCACTCTCTTTTTTACACAGAGAGAGAGAGAGAGAGAGAAGGGAAGGGAAGGGAAGCGCAAGTGCCTATCTCTGTCTCTCTCTGCAAATGGCAGAGGAAGCTAGGAGCCGCATGGGGAAGGCTCAAAGAGCCACATGTGGCTCCGGAGCCGCAGGTTGCTGACCCATGCCCTAAGGAAACAAAATAATGAAGAAACGCTTTAATTAAAAAGGAAAAACTAATTCCATTTAACACAAGAAAAAGAAGAAAAAGAAATAGCAACATGAAACAGGTTCTATTCGTATTTTCTGCACAAGAACTAAAATATTTGTGCTCCTATGGCTAAATATAAAGAAGGGGGGGAAACAATACAATTTGTAGCCATTAGGTCAAAGGCCAGCCTTTTAAAATCACAGAATAGGTTTAGAGAGAGAAAGTTTTGTGGTTTCAGAGATTTTTCTTTCTTTCTTTCTCCACTCTCTGTATGGCAGGTAAGAGATAAGGATCTGGTAAAGGAAGTTGAAGAGAGAACTATCCATCCTGAAAGAGCAGCATGAGTTACAAGGGTAATTGAGATGACTGCTATGTGGTGTTGTGGGTTTTCCAGGAATTTTAAAAGCAAAATTACTTCAAAAAAAAAAAAAAAGAAGAAGAAAAATCTGCAGCCCTAACTCTGTGTACTTGATATGGCATTTTATTTAATTGGCAAGTGTACATTTAGTAAATCTGATTACAGAAAGTTAATGCAGATATAAAAGGATGATGTCAGCTAGAATGATGTTCAGTTGGCTTTATAGTAGCAGCCGCAGTTTATATCTCAGTATTTTGCTACAAGTTCAAGGACAATTGCTAGGAAACAAAAGGATATAAGGCAGGGGTGTCAAACTGCCGACCCACGGGCCGGTTGCATCATGCAGAGGCTGCGCCCACCCCAGCTCTGGCAATGCAAAAAAAGTTGTGATACGTCGTGACACGACACGTGATGCGGTGAGTTTGACACCCATGATATAAGGCAGAGGTAGTCAACCTTGGCTCTTTTATGACTCGTGGACTTCAACTCCCAGAATTCCTGAGCCAGCTGGCTCAGGAATTCTGGGAATTGAAGTCCACGAGTCATAAAAGAGCCAAGGTTGACTACCCCTGATATAAGGTGTGAATGTCTGATGCAACTGACAATTAATTTCTACATAGAAGGCCCAACGGTTCATACATACCTGAAAAATACACACATTGTAAGGGTAACACCCTGGTTCTTAAATATTAAAATAGCCCTGACATAATTCAGTGTGCCACTGAATTTCAGCAGCATAGATGGACAAGATTCTAGGGGCTAAAAAATGCAATGTAAGGGTCATAGGTTGTCCACCAAAGGAAGTACTGATACTATAAATTTTCAATTTCATTGATTTTGGAGTATATATTTGTGGATTCAGGGCAATGGAAGCCTTCTGAGATGCCTTTGTGGAGCTGTGACTCATGGATTCACCAACTGACTATAGCTACAGTTTATGTCTTAAAAAGGATCAGCCTTGTGGCCTCTAGCATACCTTAAATGAGCACATGCTTGAATTAACTTACTAAAACTGAAGTGTTGTACTGGATAATTTTCCTGTGATATTAGTAGCATTTAGTTTCCACTGAACTTTAGGCCATGAGTCAAATAATCCCCTCTCGGTATCTATGCTTCTTCTTCCAAATCAAGAAACACAAGGCCTGTTATTACTAATGCCAAATGGCTCTCAAACTTACAAAACTCCAAAGCACAAGCTAGCCTAGAAGTTATGCAATTGTTATATTGTGGGTGGAGTCAGATGTCCACAGTGACGGTCAACAATATCAAAATGGAAGGCAGGGCTGAGGCTGAGTGAGCAAAGAGGCTGTGAGCAAAGCCCCGCCTCTTTTGACATCATTGTTTACTCCTGAAGGGGAGACACCTTTGTGATAACTACATGGTATCTCCATATCTCTTGAAAATGTATCAGTTCCTTCCCTCACATTCCTCTTGCAAATCCATGAAGATTTAAAATCCACTTATTGTTTCTCTTTGGTGAATAGTTGCTTGTGTTCCTGACAGTTAGAACAATTAATCAGTGGAACAACTTGCCTCCAGAAATTGTGAATGCTGCAACACTGGAAGTTTTTAAGAAGAGACTGGATAGCCATTTGTCTGCAATGGTATAAGGTTTCCTGCCTGAGCAGGGGGTTGGACTAGATGACCTCCAAGGTCCCTTCCAACTTTTATTATTATTATTATTATTATTATTATTATTATTATTATTATTATTATTATTAATAATAATAATGTTCTGTAATTTTTTTTCATCTGGGCAGCACATTGAACATTCTTACATTGAACTGATGATTTGTTTAAAAAAAAAGCCAGAAATAAACTCTTAATCTAAGGCAGGGGTGTCAAACTGCTGGCCCGTGGGCTGGATGCGTCACGTGGAAGCCGCACCCACCCCATTGCCGGCAATGGCAAAACAGTCCCGATACAGCACGTGATGTCACGTGATGTCACGAGTTTGACATGTCTGATCTAAGCTAATTATTTGGTTTAGAGAAAGGACTACCAAGGGGACACTATAATCAAAGTTTATAAAGTTAGGTGTGGCATGTACAAAGTGAGCAGGCAGAAGGTTTTCTTCCTCCTTCAGAACACAGATTGGAAGATTTGGAACAGACAAAATAAATAAAAAGCACAGAACTCAGAGCTGAACTGTGGAAATTATTATCACAAGATATGCTGATGGCCATTGAATCAGAAGCATTTTAAAGGGAAATGGATAAATTCATGGACAACAGGACTATGCGAAGCAATTCACCTTGAAGACATACTGGGGACACCATGCTATCTCCAAATGCCAGTCATAGAGGAACAAAAGCTATGGAGAGTGCATCTCCTCCCAAGCATTTCAGAGCATCTGTCTCTCTCCTGTTAGAAACAACATGCTTTTGGGGCCTTGGCCTCATTCAGTAAAGCCATTCTAATGTTCTCATTATTCTGAAATGGACAGCTTTGTAAATTTTCTTCAACATCAGAACAAGTGATCTAGGAAACTTAAAGAGTCAAGAGAAAAAAACCCAAAGAAATTGAAGGGATCTGTCAACTGAGCATTCTAATAATCCATATCAGAGCCCACTTTAATAATTTTGAGATTCACATCATTTGATGAATCAGATTATCTGTGAAACATTCATGGTCTAATGGAAGTACAGCCTGTCCCAATTGTGCAAATATGAAAATTATATCTTTCCTAAACATAATTCCAAATATAATTAAACAAACATGGAAATAAAATAAAAAAACAGCCAGAGTGAATCCAAATTGTTTAAAGTATACAGAAAATTGTTTAAAGCATATGGAACATTTCCATATTTTGAATGACTTACAGTCTTTCATTTAAAAGAACCACCAATATCAATTTTGGAAAGTTTTACAGTATAGGGAGATCTGACTCTTTCCTATATGCAGTTGTGCTGAGTATCCCACTATTTGGCTTGTTCAAGTTTCACTATCAAAATTCCTTCTTCTTCCAGAATGCAGAAAACCTGGTCCCTAAAGTAACCTGCCCTTCAAAGAAACATTAAGGAATGTTAAAACTTTAAATACTGTAGCTCTGATTAGAGGATTTCTCTTCATTTTAGTCAAAAGGCTGGTGCTAGTTTAGATGGCTGCAGATCAAGACCTATAAACAAACACCTGTCCAGGTATATACAGTATATATGTGTTAGAAAGACCATTAATTGATCTAAAGTTAACTTTTCCCAAAAGATGCTTCTTTGGGTAAATAACCTGAACTTACCTCCTTGCTCATCCAACATAACCAAGGTCCTGATACCAGCATCCTTGCTCTATATTCCAGTGAGAATAACAAGATGAAACAGAGAGGCAGAGATAGAGAAAGAAAGAAATTAGTGAAAGAACTAATAGTCAAGCTCAAATCAAAGTTAAACAGTGAAGGAAGGCAATAAGAAGGAGTAAAGGATACAGTCGTAAGCATTAAAGAAACAATTCAATAGGTATCGCATCAGTACTACTAGGAGAACCTTCCCTATCTTGATCTATGGGGGTACTTACTAGTCTTCTGAGAATTGCAGTCCCAATAGTAGAACTATTGGAGGGTAATTCTGTAGTTTAAACAATGACCTGGCTGGTTCAAAAAAAAGTGTTGCTATTTGGAGAACATCAGATTAGAATGACTCACCTTGGGACTCATGGCAACACCAGATAATTTCAAGAAGAAGAAGAAGTCATTAGAAAAATGATGGGTCAGTTTTTGTTCTGCAAAATTTAGGAACCTATTGTTCCTAAATTATTATTATTTGGTCAAAGTCTCTATAATTAACAGTGGAGCTAGATCGTAACACATACACGTGGCACCAACGTCCATCTGAGTGTGTTTAATAGTGCATATACTGTATATATAAATTCATTTTTGCATATTATGTATGTATATGCTTAAATATTTAGCTAAAACATGAAAACTATCCAATCTGGAATTAGGATAGGATTTTGGCTAAGGTAAGTGTAGAATCATGAATCATGAATAAAAGGACAGGAAACTATTGTGTACACACCCATGCATGAGTGAAAATCTCATCCAACCTAATTTCTAGATTTCTCTCCCATAAAATCACAATGAATTAACAAAACATTTGAAAACTTTTTACAAGGATAGATGGTAGATGAGGGTGGGCAGGTTAAGGAGTCTTAAAATGATGTAGAAAGGGATTCGGCTATGTTCCTTAGCCTGGGATGCTGAATGTGTTAAAGGCTGTATTGCTAACTGGCCAAGTATCTCAGCTGCTATATTTATTTATTTTGGATGTTTCTGTTGATTTAAAAATGTCTTTAGTCTTTTTTATTGTAATATATATTTTTAATTGTAAGTGGCCCAGAGTCGTTGATTGAAATGGGCACCTATAGAAATTGAATAAATAAATAAAACTAAATAAAGAAGTTATTTTCCCCCCTTTCCCTATGCTTATTTTTCAGGAAATTTGTTTGAAAATGACATATTTCATTGTAGTAGTTTTTTAAAACAATTGCAGGAGAATAGCAGCAGGGGCTACAAAATTAAAATGAATAAAAAACAAGTTCCATTTGTCACACTTTCTATTTAAGCAGCAACTAAAAGAAACCATTACATATCTAATGTTGCATTCTTTTGGATTAACCATAATTCTTTTAATTTTCCTAAACCTGGATGACAGATCTCAGAACCAAACAGAACACTGGATCCATCCTGCAATGTATCAATCCTTCAAGTGTTTCTCCAATATCCCACTGTGAAAACTGTTTACTGTGATTTCAGACTAGCCACAAATGAAGAAATTCTTCCCCTCTCTATTGTGATTTTTTTTTTAAAAAAATGGGAACCTCATCTATGTCTCTGAATCTCCAGATTACCAAGAAAGCTTCCAATGTGCCTCACTTCAGAGAAAGCTTTCTTTAATCTTGATGTTTCTTAATTTTTTTTCTGAATCAACCTATTTCACTCAGGAGTCCATGTGTAATTGAATGTGTAGTCTCACTAATGTACATAGTGTCATGTCCACAGATGTTAGGGGTGAAGAAACATAAAGGCAACATGGTGAACTCTGACCGTAGAATCTGAATTTTAGTTCTTGAATGTTTCACAGGGACTGGGAGAAAATATAAATTCTCTGGAGAAAATGTATAGAGAAGGTAACCTTTCTTTCAGAAGACAAAATTCTCCCATTAGATTGTGGGGGGAGGGGGGAGGGGAGCAGGACTCACCCAGAAAATACAAAATTAAATTATATATTTAATAAGTTAATACTCCTGCTGCTTTTGTTTCTCTAAACTTTAAGACCAGAAGATTACATGGTCAAAAGAAGAGCTAAGTACATTTTTTTCTCATTCCCATCTCCATCGGCAATACAAGGATAAAATTGCTGATGAATCTTCCAGTGTGAATGTATGGGTTACAAAAGGGTAACGTACATGCCAAATTTTGAAACATTTTACGGTATTTCTCTCTGTGTGTGTGTTTGTGTGTTTGAATGGTTCATTGCTGCAAATTAATGGTGTTATTATTAAATCAGGAAAAAACACTCCTGCAGGATAACCTGTTTCAGGGAATCTTTTCATTTCATGCACTGATAAAAGGAATCTAGCCCAATCTACTGACAAACTGCTTTGAAATTACGGGACGACTGATGAGTTTTGCTGCCTCTGTCTGGTTTCCAGGCAACTTGAGCTCCAAATAAATAGATGTTGTTGATTTCCTCTGCTCTATTACTATACTCTATAGTTTTCTAAGACTTTTCTAAGGCAGTTAATTAAGTTAACTGCTTGAATGCCAGATCCCAATGATAATGCTGGAATTTTGTGTAGCTTTGCCACCATTCTCAAAGTATTTTCTTTTCAAAGTGATTTTGTGTGTTTGTTTGTTTTCTTTATCCCACCTTTATTATGTTTTACAAATAACTCAAGGTGGAGAACACACCTAAAACGCCTTCCTCCTCCTGTTTTCCCAATAACAACAACAATCCTGTGACGTGAGTAGGGCTGAGAGTGACTGACTGGCCCAAGGTCACCCAGCTAGCTTTCATGGCCAAGATGGGACTAGAACTCACACTCTCCCACTTTCTAGCCTGGTGCCTTAACCACTAGACCAAATTGGCTTATATGGAGAGCTAGCACGTAGAAATTGTGCATGTAGTCTGTGTTTTGCTAAGATAAGTTTATCAGTTGTAACACAGCACTTCCGAATAAGACAAAGAACAGACTTGCCCATTGGCCTCAGTCATATCCATGTCACATGCAGCATGCCCTATTCCTGTGGTGGCGAACCTATGGCATGGGTGCCACAGGTGGCATGCAGAGCCCTCTATGTGGGCAGGCGCACCATCGCCCCAGTCCTAGGCCTTCAGCTGGGTTTTATAAAATCTTTTCGCTTTAGTCCTCTGTCGTCGTGTGGAAAAAAAAAGGTTCAATCAATCAATCAATCAGTTTCAGCTTCTTGCGGGGAAAAAAAAGATCTTGCAAAGTTGGAATTGATTGATTGAACTTTTTAGTCCCACCCAGTCTGCCGTTACTACCACAGCCACACCCACCCGGCACCCGATGATACATATGTAGATTTTGGGTTTCAGTTTGGGCACTCGGTCTCTAAAAGGTTCGCCATCACTGCCCTATTCACAGTAAGGACTTGATGCTGGTCAGCTTGGGTATGTTTTAGCTGGTTTGCGCAAGTGCAACTCAAGACCATTTTTATCCCAAGCATGCCCATACTATAGTATGCAAAGTACAGGTAGTCCTTGACTTATAACAGTTCATTTAGTGACCATTCAAAGTTACAATGGCACTGGAAAAAATGGCTTATGACCATTTTTCATATTTACAACTTTTGTAGCATCCCCATGATCATGTGATCAAAATTCAGATGCTTGGCAATTGATTCGTACTTGTGACCGTTGCCGTGATCCAAGGGTCATGTGATCCCCTTTTGCAACCTTCTGGCAAGCAAAGTCAGTGGGGGAAGCCAGATTCGCTTAACAACTGCGTTACTAACTTATTAACTGCAGTGATTCACTTAACAACTGTGGCAAGAAAGGTTGTAAAATGGGGCAAAAGCACTTAACAAATGTCTCATTTAACAACAGAAATTTTGGACTCAGTTGTGGTCCTAAGTTGAGAATTCCCTGTATGATTTGTAGTGTAAACTAGATTTAATTAGATTTCCATTTTCTCTCTCCTACTGTCCATCTTCTATCTTCATTTTTTTTCCTTCCAGTATTTTTTTATTCATTTTTGGCATTTTGCATAAGACTGAGGGCCATCAAAGGGAACAGTGGGATGGATGTGGAAAACATGTTGTTTTCAATGCAATCCGGTTTTAATCATGTATCAAATGAACCATTGAAATTAGCAAAGCTTAAAGTAGCTAGCTTAAATCTCATTGATTTTAATCGTTCTACCTTAAATGTGATTAAGCCCAATCCAATATTTTTTTTACAACTCCTTCTTCAAATTCTGGAGGGATTTATTTGTTCTAATTTCAAAATATTTCTAACAGAGTTAAATATTGGGTGAAAGCCGGTCTCATTGGCCAAGAAAACACTGGTCCTTTTGAGTGCTCCCTGATGTCTAATTTTCCCTCTGATTTTACAGGGTGTGCAAGAGTATTTAAAATGTTATATGCATGTAATGTGCCCTCCAAAAGCAGTCACAGGAGGCTTTACAAATGAGTTACATGGGATGTTCCTTATCAGAATCAATCATGGTTTCACAGGAAGGCACACATTCACATAAAAACCTTTGGCTTTATGTTAGCAGTGCGTGTAAATTCACTCTAAAGAAAACCCTTTAAAATAACCATTTTCATTGTGTTTGAAAAAGTCATTATGTAAGTCTAATGTGGATATGTTTGTCATGTAATGAGAAGCCTCAGCTTTGGCTAGCCAGGAGGAAGAATCAAGATAAATCAAGACGGTTGTCTTACCTCTTCAACAAGTTGCAGCATACGACGGGTGCTTTCAAGGGACTAATGCAGAAAAGAAACAAAACAATGTTAAGATTAACAAAATGTTTGTTGGTCAAATATCCATCCTGCATAGATCATTAACAAGGTATCTATTTGGGCTCAAAAACATTTACCATTGACAATAAATTCTGCTTTTTCAGAGGCAGGATCCAGGTTTTGGAATAAAGACCATCCATGTTATCATTCAGGAGGAGTCTAGGAATTTATTTAGTACCCAAGCATTTATGCTTTAATTTTAGGAATTCCTCTTTTTTCAAATCCTTTTTATTATGCTTTTATGATCATTTTTATTAGAAGCCCTTCAGAACCACTATATGAGAGGGCAGATGATACATTTCTTAAATACATAAAAAATGAAAAGAAGATAAAATCAATATTATGTTTATCTCCTGTTTATAGAGAAGATCCAATTTATTATGTTTAAATTATATCTTCCATACAAGGAGTTTATAGATTAATCTAAGAATCATTTATCAAAGTTTGCATAAGTTATGATTGCTTCACCTGTGGCTGAATGTCAAAAATTATTCTACGACAAATGTTAAGTATGAAAAGCAGAAAGAAACTTAAATCAAATTTCTCCAATTTTGGGGAAAATACTGCAGAACCTGTACAGCCTTATTTATTTATTTAAGACTCTATATCTCATCTTATTGATGGTTGGAGGGAGTTTACTTTGTTTATACCTGCTGCTATCCACAGATTCTCAGTAGCTAACAATAAACATATGGCAATCAATAGTAAAAAGTACAATAGAAGAATAGTATAACATTCACAAGAAATTTAGCATTGTAAAATAAAATTACACAGTAATAACAACAGTGTCATTTTATCCTCCAGGTGCTCTCTGCACAATTCACTTTTTAAAATATATAGAAAACCAATAATGCAGAAGCCAATCTAATTTCTAGTAGACAGCTATTCAATTTTCTCACTTAAATAATGTTCCAGATACCAAATAATATTGTAGATATTTATAGATAAATCTATAGCTAGCAGAAGCATAAGGAGATTTGATTTGCTGCGACAGATCAAAGGTCTTTTAGTCTTTTAATTTACAACAGTATCGTATTAGATTCCTAGAGGGAGTTTATAAATATTAGTTTCCTGTATATAAATGTCTGATCTTTAGTAATACCTCCTATAAACATAATAGAACTTTTATTCTATTTGTCACTGTACAAAAGGCTATGTATAAATAATACCAAGGCATTCTTTCATCTTCAGTGAAAGCTTTGTGATCCAGTTATGGAACGTGGATATGCCTTTCTCTTGGGCAGCATTCCTGCTAGAATTACTTTGCTACAATGAGCTCTTCCTTATAGATCAAAGTGCTATCCACCAGTCCAACTATACTAGTGCTCTCCTTATTATTTGTATGCAGGGCAAATTAAGGAAAGAGAGTGGAAGATTCCCACAGCTTTGCTTCCCTCTCTTCCCTCCAAATATCCCCAGCTGGCAGAAGAACTTCCATCCAACACCTTCCTTAACTGAAACAGAGTTGGACGAACAGAAAAGAAGATACAAAAGAAATGCTAAATTAGTTGGCTTAGCCATCTGTCAAAAGCTGTCCGAGGCTTTGCCCAAGCTCCCAATAACAATAGTAACAGCACCTAGATTTCTATACTGCTTCATGGTGCTTTACAGCCCTCTCTAAGCGGTTTACAAAGTCAGCATATTGCCCCCCAACAATCTGGGTCTTCATTTTACCGACCTCAGAAGGATGGAATGCTGAGTCAACCTTGAACCGGTCAGGATCGAACTTCTGACAGTGAGCAGTGAGTTAGCCTGCATTACTGCATTCTAACCACTGCGCCACCACGGCTCTATCCCGAAATAGATCACAGGAATAAAGGGGGAATCAGCTCTACCCATAAGGTTTCAGATCCCAATGAGTTGATCAGACACCAAATCTGAAAGGGTTGGCTAACGAAAGCAGGTGGTTGGCTCTTTCAGCTTCACCTGCCTCCTCTCCCAGCCTAAGGATCCATTCAGAACCAGGCACTGAAGTCCCTTAGCTATCCCTTAGGGGTAGTTAGGATTTCTCACACTGAAATGGAGAAGATATCATTTCACACACCACCCCCCAACCTTCAAGGCCTCATCCGTTGTTTCTGGGGCTATTTTCAAAAAAAGGTTAGCACTCTTTTGAAAAAGAATTGAAATCATGTTTAAATTAATCCCGCCAATTGACAAAAGGTCGGAAAGGCCTGTTATCTGTTGGTTGGGCTTATGCTTCTTTCAAAAGGAGGGATCCACTCAGAGAAATAGGAAACAGGGAAGAAGCTGGATCTCTTTCCCCATAGGACGCTGCCCAAGGACTGCAGGGGAAGAAAAATGCCCATCCCAGCCTAACATGGCCAATAGTTGCTAGGCTGATCCCACCCTTTAGCCACACCCTGACTGCAACACCAATCTAAGTTAGTTGGTGAAACCTATCAGATTGCAGCAAGAATAAAAATGCCGCAAGTTTTTGCCAGCTTGAGGGGGGGAAAACCCACTACTTTAAAAGCTAAAAAGCCAAGGATGATCTAAGGCTGCCTAAAAGTATGGGCGGCAGAAGTAGGATGAGGACATGGCAGAAAAACTAGGTTATCAAAGAATGTTCATTATTTTTTATCAGGTGAGATTAGCTTTAATAAGCAAGTTTCAAGTTCTAATCCCTCGGTCCAGTTCAAAGGCAACACAGGGGAGGTAAATAAACAAAGCAGGATCCTGTCTTTCCGAGCTGCTCAGCTCCTCATATTGCACTTATTTTTCTGTCCTTTTCTTTTACCTCATCTGTCATCTGATCAGCCCGCTGCTGCATTTCTTCTAGCTCATTGCGCATATCAGCATCTTCTGCCATTGTGGCTGTGAGTGTGTGGCTCTCGCTTCTGGATCAGTTGGTGCCTTTTGTCCTGTCTGCAAGCCTAGAGTGCAGAAATAACAAACACAAATAAATATAAGCGTTATTGTTATTGTTGTTGTTATTGTTAGCGCTATCACTATCAATCAGTTGACTCCTAGGTCAGTGGTGGCNGGCCACACCCAGCCGGCACTCGACGATGCATAAGTGGGTTTTGGGTTGCAGTTTGGGCACTCGGTCTCTAAAAGGTTCGCCATCACTGTCCTAGGTGCTGTCTGGACAAATCCCTGCAGTTTTCTTGGCAAGGCTTTTTCAGAAGTGGTTTGCCATTGCCTCTTTCCTAGGGGTGAGAGAGAGTGACTGGCCCAAGAACACCCAGCTGACTTTGTGCCTAGGATGGGACTAGAACTCCTGCTTTCCCAGTTTCTAACCTGGTGCCTTAACCACTAGAGGTAGTCCTCAACTTACAAGCACAATTGAGCCCAACATTTCTGTTGTTAAGCAAGACATTTATTAAGTGTGTTTTGCCCCATTTTACGACCTTTCTGGCCACAGTTGTTAAGTGAATCACCACTGTGAATAAATTAGTAACCCGATTGGTAAGTGAATCCGGCTTCCCCATTGACTTTGCTTGTCAGAAGGCTGCAAAAGGGGATCACATGACCTTTGGGCACAGCAACGGTCATAAATAGGAACCAGTTGCCAAGTATCTGAATTTTGATCACATGATCATGGGGATGCTGCAAAGATTGCAAGTGTGAAAAATGGTCATAAATCACTTTTTTCACTGCTGTTGTAACTTTGAATGGTCACTAAATGAACTGTTGTAAGTCGAGGACTACCTGTATACCAAACTGGCTCTTAACACAAGGAGTACGCTAGCATAAATTATGAGGAACAATGTCTTGATGAATATACATACTACATTATTAGGGAGGAATAAATACTGAATTGAAGTCATACATATTGCAAGCTAGATAACAACATATTACAACAAGTACTTGGAAAAACATCATCAGATTAGTGATCTCACCAACAAATTGTTTCTGATTACTTGTGCGTCAATACCTGTGTTTTCAAAAATACTCTTATGGCTTTCCTCATAAAGCCATTTAGCTGAGGCAGGCAATGCTTATAAGTGAGAAAGCTCTCATCAGTTGTTCCCAAAGTGACATCGTGCTATTCCTGGGCTGTTAGTCATTCTCCTGAATAAGAACCCAAATGTATGTTTGATGAAATCACGAAGCAGAACTGATTCATTTCAGTTTCATAAAAACACTGATCAACTTTCATAAAGCAACAAGCCCAGGGGGAAAAAAATGGATACTAGGGGAAAGAATCTGCAGTACTTTTGTCCCAAATCTCCCACATTTCTCCAGAATTGAAATAAGTGTTGAATTCTGTTACTGACAAGGAATTGAAAAATTACAATCCCTCAACAGCTATCCCAATGCCCCAGACTCCAGTTTGTGAGTGGAGAGTCATCTTGCAATGAGATTACATGGGGAAAGCTTTATTCTGTGAAAAAGCAGCCTGTTGGAGAATGTACTTCCAAATCAAAACTGGTTGCAAGAAAATAAAACTTTAGATTGTTCCACAAGTGTTCAAAATCTGATTTATTCCGAGAAGAAATCAGCCATCACTCCAAACTACATATTATGCTGTATGCAAACTCTCTCTCCCTCCCTTTTCTGTTTCTTAACAGGAAAAGCAATGGCAAGAGCAACAACAACAACAACAACAACAACAACAAAAGATCTCTGTGCGTCTTTCTCACTGTTGTCAAATGAGAAGTTGTATCTTGGATACTGTGGATTCTAGAAAGGTCTTCTTCCTCTTAAGGAACTCAGAACCCAATTATGCAACTACCGGTAAATGCTTTTAACTGCAACCTTGACATTCACCACACAATGGATGTTTTTATGATGCATGCACACACACATAGGGGGAGAAAAAAATCTCTCTTCCACCATAGGATAATTATTAGATGATCTCAGCATCACAAAATAACATGTAAGCTTTTGATTCTTCCATAAATCTTCTGCAGGCAAGTTGACTGCTTAATTATATGCTAAAACAAGTTCTTTCCGACTCCCAGAGACCCCTTAGAGTAGACTGATTTGCTCCATGACAATCTAGTCTTCCAACTGTGCCTCCATCACCATTTTAACTGAATCCATCCATCTGCTGCTGGTTGTCCTCTTCTTCTCTTCCCTTCCACCTTTCCCAGCATTAGAGCCTTCTGGGTCTTCGCAGAATGTGTCCAAAGTAGAATACTTTGAGGTTGACAAGATAGAGCAAAAAAACAGAAGATAAGAACACAAGGGCCCCCAAACGTATGAAGGACCTGCACGAAAAATACTTTTCTCACACAAGAGGGGAAGCATGCTTATCTGTGATCTCTCTGACTATAGGGAGACTGACTCTACTTTCTGTAATAACTGAAAAGGCTGAAAGCTTCTGCTGGATTGGTCTTACAATGTGAATGAGAGAAGGGTGACCATTAAGAGTTTTTCTGCTTCGTTGTTTTTTGATGTTATTCTTTAGTTCTCATCAGAAAAAAAGATCAGAATTGTGCAGGTAATGATTTGCCCCGTGACACTCTATGAAAGCGAAAGCTAGACTTTGAAGAAGCAAGATAGGAAGAATAGTGATGCTTTTGAAATGTAGAGCTGGAGAAGACTCCTAAGGATACCATGGATCATCAAACGAATCAAAACAGGTTCTCATCCCAGGCTCAAATGATCAGGTTCATTTTTGAACACATTATGTAAAGACTGAGCTCTGTTGGGAAGTCTCTAATGCTGGGAAAGATGGAAGGAATGGATGTACCATTGGAAAACCTGAGGGACCAACTTTGGCCTAGTTCAGGCATATCAAACTGCCGGCTCACGGGCTGGATGCGTCATGCCGAAACCGTGCCCACCCCATTGCCGGCAATGGGGAAAAAGTCACGGTACGTCGCACAATGTCACATGACGTTGCAAGTTTGACATGCCTGGCCTAGTTCCTCCTGGAAAAAGTCTATCACGTGGTTGCTAAGAGTCAATACCAACTTGGTGACACATCAATATTATTATCATGTCACGGAGAGTAGGAAATGAATGAAGTTTTATGGGACAAGAGAACTACCACAAAGGTGACCTTATTTGTTCAATTGTAACATGAAATGTTACTGAAGCAGAAGAGAAATGGCTATTGGCACACAACAGATTATAATAGCTTTTTCTGTGCTGCTTAAAGGACTAGAGGAAAGGTCACTGGCTATCTGGTTGTGCCCTTTAGACAGGACCAACTTATCGTTAGGTATAAAAATGTTTGATTTTTTTTTTTAAAAAAATCAGAGAACAAAAATGAAGTAAAAGTTATTGCCATGCCTTTGAATAAATATGTACATCTTTTCATGCTCTTTCATAAAAAAAAACAGGGAAGAAACAGACACACTTTGAACATCAAACCTATTCATACCCTACTGTCAGTGCAGTTAATTAATTTAATGTGAATAGTAAAATTTAGTATGAAGTCTAAAATTTAGGAACCATGGTGATGCACAATAGATCTCATATTTAATCACCAAAACATTATTATTATTATTACAAAATAAAATTTCTATGATTTAGTATTCCCGATTTCTCTGTAAAATATGAAGAAAACTTTGAAAATCATATGAAATATAATAAACATAAAGGTAAAGGTTTCCTCTTCCAGTCTGACTCTAGAGGCGGTGCTCATCTCTGTTTCTAAGGCCGAGGGAGCCAACGTTATCCAAAGATGCTTTTGTGGACCTGTGGGCAGCGTGTCTACACACCAAGGTGCATGGAACATTGTTATCTTCCCACCAAGTGGTACCTATTTATCTATCTCGCATTTGCATGCTTTCAAACTGCTAGGTAGGCAGGAGCTGGGACCCATAACGGGAACTCATCTTGTCTTGCAGCATTCGGGTCTCAAACCGGGCTGTCAGCTTTTCAGCTAACAACCTCAGCATCTTTAATCGCTGAGCTATCACGTCGCTCCCTATAATTTTAATACTATTCTTTTTATGGAGGGAGGGTCCACCAGAGCAAAAGCACCGACTTTGGCCCACCCAAACTCATACTGAAGCCCTGCCTATATCACATCATCGAGATTGGAAAGTAAAGAGAATTGTATAGTAACCCATTCAGTTTCATTCTTCCACTAACAGCTTATATAGTAATTAGGAAGAAGAGAGGCATGGGGCAGTGGTGGGATTCAAATATGTGAACAATCAGTTCTCTGTGTGGATGCCGCTTTCAGAACTCCATTCTGGGCCCGGGCAACAAAAAATTAGCTACCGGTTCTGCCAAAGTGGTGCGAACTGGCTGAATCCCACCACTGGCATGGGATAATCTAAATATGTAAAATTTACACAACATACACACACAAAAGGTCAGGCATTGAACGGAGCTGGTGGAATAAACTCTTCTGAAAGCTTTGGACCTCCGCAGTAAGTGGAATTTCACCCTGAGCATTATTTTCAGCTCTCGCTAATGTTTGGTTTCCCTCGCTGACAAGTCGTTTCTGAAGGAGACAGAACTCCCCTTGCGAAGCATGTATCTGTGCTAATTAAAAATGAACAAGAGGCAACTGCAAGGAGTGTTGACGTACAATAATTGCTGCTCCACAAACATAGGGTGGGAGGGAGCAAGCCAGGATTGGCAATCAACTCTACTGAAGTCTCTGATTCATTTATGTAACTAGTTCGTGATGGTTTCTCTCCCTCACATGAAAAAAAAAATCAGATATTTGCCCAGGAAGACAATTCTAAATACATAGATTTTAAAAGAATAGAGAGGATTGTTTCATTATCTGAATCATTTGAGTTGTGAAAGGTCCTTCTAATTCCATTCCATGTAAAAAATAATAATACAAACTCCAAAGCAAATACAGTTCAGACTCTGTGTACTCTGGATTGGAAAGTGTTACTGCTGGGAGAAAATGGGTTATTAAAGGTTTGCTATGTAGTTTATACTGAAGCT